ATCTGGCATATCTTCTGGCATTCTATCTGGCCGTTGAGGTCCGGCAGTGCCCACTGCGATCTGGAAGTCGCGGTTGAGGTCCGGCAGTGCCCACTGCGATCTGGAAGTCGCGGTTGAGGTCCGGCAGTGCCCACTGCGATCTGGAAGTCGCGGTTGAGGTCCGGCAGTGCCCACTGCGATCTGGTGCCCACTGGGATCTGGAGCTCGCGGTGGAAGTCCGGCAGTGCCTGGGATCTGGAAGTTGCGGTTGAGGCCCACCAGTGCCCACTGCGATCTGGAAGTCGCGGTTGAGGTCCGGCAGTGCCCACTGGGATCTGGAGCTCGCGGTGGAGGTCCGGCAGTGCCCCCTGGGATCTGGCGCTCCCGCTGGGCCGGCTGTGCCCACTGGGATCTGGACTGCGAGGAGGAGGAGGAGGACGAGGAGGAGGAGGAGGCGGAGGAGGAGGAGAACAGCTCTGATAAAATTTAACAACCCTCACCTGGCAGGTGGGGAAAAAATGCCAAAGAACTAAGATATACAGTACATAGATGTAATCTCATCCCCTGAATTAATATTAAATAATTACTCTCATATGGGCCCCCCAAATGAACAAAACAAATCCAATATCAAACCAGGGTTTCCAGGGAGGTATTTTATATTAAGGGGAAGGGATCACTATGTACAGAAGTTGAAAAGCACCATGTTTTATTTTAACTGCGTTATGGGATGGGTTTATCACAACCATGCACAAACATGCACAACCTGACGCCCGGTCCTGAAGTGTCCCTTGCCAATCAGGAATCATGATGGACGGCTATCTATCGAGGAGTCAGAAGCTGAGGATGGTGCATGGTGACAGCAGATGGTGCTGTTTTGCCGTTGTTTGTTTGCTTTTCCTTGGTTTTCCTGAAATCTGAAAAAAACAACAATTATTTTTATCTCTCAAACATCTCCCCCACACAGAAAACACTCGTTTTTCGATTTTCTTTAGCCGGTGGTTTGGGCTCTTAAACGGCTCTAGTCACTATGGGCAACCACCAGCCCAAAGCCCCAAATCACAAGTGACCAGTAGTTGAAATGGTGCTAATGCCTTTCCCCAATCAATGGACGGACCCGAACTCTAATGGCCATGGATTGTTCAGCTGGAAGTCGCGTTCCCAAGGTTCAAATCGTGGTTCTACGGTCCACGAAATGCGCCTTATCTACGTTGCATGCAGACTGGGGACCTGAAACAAGACCCTGGTTGTGATCACCATTAAGGTTTTGTTGGTCCATTGGTTAAGTTGAATTTGAATCGCACATGGGGAATGTCGCTTGACAGGTCTTGACAAAGAGTATAATTTGTGGCCAGCCATGACAAGCATTCACAGCCAAAGAGATACGACAAAGGATCAACATCAGCATTTGTCCACCATTCCGGTGGCTGTGGTTTCATGATGTCGGCACACCCCAAAATTTTGGGCCCCAAACTGGGTCAGGTGGCCATGGAACATGCTAAACTCAGGACCCTGCCTTCATGTTTTCTCCTGTCCGTAAGCTGCTGCAGTGTCTCGGCTTTATAGCCTTCATGGTGGGCCAGGGGGCATGAAGCTAGGAATTTCGGGACAAGAATCGATAGAATAGTCAGATCATGAGGCATGAGTGTTGGCCCTTGATGTTCAGGTCTAGGTGAGCATCTTAGAGCCGCGGACTGGACATTCCCGTTCTTGAAGCTTCTCACACGAAGCACAAACTTGATTTTTTTTGTGAACTTCATAGTGAAGGGTCTGTCCAACAGACCACAAAGTGATGGTTTTGAGGAGCACCCAAATTTTAACCTTAATTTCAACATAAGTACGGTAGAGGTACTGGATACCCGTGAAGCAAATCCGAGGTGATTTTGAGGCGGGCGAGCGAAGCAACCCAAAAAAAATAGCTGAGATGGCAGTGCAAGGAAAAAATTATGTAGCAACAATGGCTATTCCGCCCTGAGGAACAATTGGGGTTTCACCAGATGCATCTTCCATTTTTCAGAAAAGGATCCAAAAGGTTCAAATCCCCAGGCTCCAATCATTCCAACCCTAAATCAAGATGGCCTTGCACTCCCTGAAGCTGCGGCCTGCAGCGAAACGGCCTGCAGCGAAACGGCCTGCCGTTCTCGGGTGATGGCCGGCATCCGGAGCATGGGACACCTTAATTTGGAATCCAGGAACGGGGTAGCTGGACAATATTAGACTTTGTGACCCCACCGCTCAAATCCACTTCTAACCTTGAATGGAGCCCAATGCTCGCTGGTAGATGCAGCATGGCATAGAATGGCTAGTAAGCCAGCTAGACAAGTTGCCGCTGCCTGTTTCCAAGGCAGACAGAGGGCCAAGGGAATGAGGATAACCAGTGGGAGGAATCAACATTAATTATCTAGATTGATATGGCCCCAGTGGAAACTTCAGCACTAATCCAGCCATGTTTCAAGATTCTCAAGTTTGACCATGTTCAACCAAAATCCTTGAGGTTTGACATGGTTTGACATGGTTGAGCAGCATCCAAATGATTTCAATGTCATAGTTGCCATGGGACAATGCTTCTAAACATATCCGAACATGACCCCAAAGATGCTGATAAAATATGCTAAAATATGATACAAACATACAGGAAATATGATACAATCATATAGGATCCCAATAGGATCCCAATAGGATCCCAATAGGATCCCAATAGGATCCCAATATCCAGACATTCTCCCGAGATATCGCGCTTCTCTTTGACTTGGCCTGGCTTGATTCTCACACTCTCATGGATTGGGAGCTTATTGGCTCAGCATGGAGCCGAACCCAAAAGCTGCCACGCCCCGGAGTTTCGGAAAGTTTCGGCCCAGAGATGCCGAAGTCCCAAAAGTTCATAGGTCTATAGAATCCAGATATGGATGTGTCATGATGTGTCATAATTATGGAATATTATGGATACCCTATAAATTCCCATTTTCATACGGATAGTGATCATAGTCCATACTTGAATGGGAATTGGGGGTAGCCTATTTGCAGACAAACCCATATTCACTGGACTATGCTGTATGCTGGCATTCAATGGTATTCGCGTTAGTTGTATCCTTACGATCGTTGCTAAAATTCTTCCAACTTTGTAGGTTGAATACTCTTCTTCTACATTGTTCAGACATCTCAAGTGTATTGCCATCATCTTTGTGTAGCGTTGCGTAGCATTGCGTGGCAACGCTGTTCTAAATGGCAAGAACTCATGCCTTTGACTGCATTGACCATTCTTAAGCACCAGCATTTTTCAGAGATGCCTTTTTCATCAGGGGCCGCAGCTAACCACCGTGCCGCACATACTTCCAGCAGCGGAGATGTCTTCGGCCGGTGGCATCGTTGGTTTTCGGACGTGGCGACACGGCCAGAAAATGATCCGCGGCTGTGTCTGGTGTGTAGATCATTGTAGATCGAAGTGGCCCAAGATACGGGCCAAAATGGAGCCACAATTTAGGGCGATTCTGGTTTCGAGGGCTTTGAAGCATCCAAATTTCGAGTTAATTTTCGATCCTCCGCATATTTTGGGGATCACGAAGTTTCAGAACAATATGCCATTCTTGGATAGGGGAAGCGATTCATAATTGATAATTAATTATCATTAGTCATGAACTTTTTTCTGTTGCATTCCACGCAATGAATAACTTTCGTCACAGTGACACCGCCCCTGCAATTACTGGAACAATCTGGAATAGTTACTAGCTTTTGCATTTACACGCGCATGTATATATTATTCTTAATTATTATTATTATTATTGTTATTTTTTTTTAATTTATGTATATATATATGCATATGCTGTTATACATTAACACCATTGACATATACATATCATTGTATATATGATGATATATCATAATGATATACATATGCATATATATATACATACTTGCATATATGCAACCAAACCAGACCACTGACCACTGCCACAGGTGTCGGCCTTTGACGAAGAGGATGCAGAGGTCATGGACGCTTGGGGTGGCTGTTTGAAAAACCGGGGCTTTGGTGAGTAACTCCAGTTTGTTGATGTTTTATATTGGGATTTTTATCCATCTTTTAGAGGATTATGATTATAGAATATTATATATTATAGATAGATGTTTTTTAAAATATTTTTCGTTCTCTTTTTCCAAACCAGGGTTAAATTTAGGCTTATGTTTGGTAAATGGTGGTTCGTTGACGATCCTAACTTGGATTCCCAGGTAGGAAGTGGTTAAAATATACCATACATGAATCATGTACACTGTAGATTTAGGGATATTCCATCTGTATATATATATATAAACTCATATAATCTATAAGAATATGGCATTGTACAAGATGATTCTTACTTATTACCTTACTAACTGGGACGCACGCCCAAGTAACAGTAGGGGTATTTGGCTGTTAGAGGATTATGAAGAGTCAAACATATGGGGATATAATCATGTAATTGATAAATGAGGGTTGGTTGATGACGTACAGGGGGTTGTGGTATGCAATATGGCCAATATGGTGCGACTATCATCATCCATAAGAGGATGAAAGTGCTCATGAGTGTTGATCTTAACAGTTAAATGTATTGTATGAACATGTGTGAACCATCTATTGAACTTAGAACATTGTCTCTAGATAGAGTATAAGATGGTATAAGTATGGGGGCACCAAGCTTAGTCTACTTCCAGAACTGGATATCAGTTCTGGTGATTTTCTTGGATGAAGGTCCGAAGGTCCCAATGACTGTCCAGAAATGGAATTGGAGCCATCACCGCCATCACCACTGGAGGTTTCTTCTTGGATTCACTACATGAATAAATTTCAATGCTGACAATGATCAACCGCGTTATGTTGTATTCAGATGTATTCAGGGACATGAGGAAAGCTTTGACGAGCACAGAAACTGTTCTCGATTTGGATCTCAGAGTCGGAAGTTTGGGCATCCCAGAGTCGGATGGGCGCAGAGTGGGAAAGATCCATAGCTTTGCTGATCTTTTGCCGGTTTTTTGTGACCATTTCTGGCTCCCAAGCTGTGCTGTTGTTTGCCGGCGACGCTAGGCGAGGAAGGCCGAACTCTACGGGATAACTGGTGGGGATGGGATAAGATGAATAAGCCCAAGTCATCCATCAGTTCGTGCTGTTTTACTGAACTGAATGGGTAGAGCAAAATAATTAGAGCAATGTCAAATATGTCAGCCCTGGATTTTTATTTTAGTGAGTTGATCAACGAGGCTTATCCCCAATATCTAGTGAATCTAGTGATCAAGTACCATTAAAAATTGCCACCACTCTAGTGAACTGTGGGTTTTCAGGTTATCCTGCAATATCCTGGCCACAGAGGCCTCGACATGTTGAGCTCTGCGCCCTGCGCCCAACATGTGCCCTGGGAGTCTTGGATGGGGGTTCCATTTTTCAAGCCACATCCTGCATCGAATCATCAGTCATTCCCTATATAATAACTAGAATATATATTGCTGTATGTACAACAATTTATATAACTACATATATATGTATATACACATATCCATGATATACTCCCACTGTTGCTGTTAAAATCTTCCATTCATCTCATCCCGTTGATGGTGCCATCCTAGGAGTACTTCGGTGGCAGTGGCTCGTCACGCTCCTCCCGTTGCTCAGCACGAAAAAGGGTCGTCGAGATTCTCACTGGGAATCCAAGCTGAGAAGGGAAATATCACTGCATTTGTTGGCATATGTTGGCATATTTATGCAAACAAAATCTAATATTTATATGTGTCTACAATCTAATCTATTCCATTTCTATTTCTAGTTCTAGTCTTGTCTGTTCTCGCCTATTCTATTCTATTCTATTACAATTCTAATCCTAATTCTCATTCTAACCTATTCTATCCTTTTCCAATGGAATTTCATTCTATTCAATTCTATATTGATATAGATGATTTTATAGATTTTTCTATTCTACGGGATTCTTCGGTAACAAGGGGATGACAACCATCAGCCATCTGAGGTAACTCAGGTGATCGTGGTCTATTTACCAAGCTACCCATTGACCACCCGAAAAAATCCAAATGTATACAGTAAAGTAAATGTTTCCAATCTAAAAGTAAACATATAATATTACATAATATTACTATATATATATATATTACTTCAGTCCATTAGGTTCCTGAATTTTGCCATAAATTTCCGAATCTCCCAGAATTGGTCGGGAAATCTGCAGTTAACTCCCCCGATATTTCCTGCAGGATTTTCCCTGAGGTCATAGAAATCCAAACTCCAGAGAAAATCTACAATAATATAGCTCAATATAACAATATATATTCCTATAGAATTCCTATAGAAATCATAGAACATCAATAATTAAAGATAAATAAAGTTCAATATATAGATAACAATATATATATATATATGGATTATATACTGTATATATAGATTACACACACACACACACATATATATATATATAATAACTCCCGAATTTCTGCAACCCCTTTCTCCCGAGGCTCCCGCGCGACGCCGACCTCGACACCGCCGCCGGCCGTTTTTTGGCTGTGCGGGCCGCGCCTTGGAGCGTGGTGACTTGGCCGAGATGCGAGCGGAAGGGGCTGTATGGTGATATCATTAGGACATATGTCACTTATGAAAAAAAACAATAGACATAATTATATCCTAATGATATCATTAGTGACTAGATTTAGGAAACATAGATTTTATATGGAATTGTTTTTTTTTGTAGATTTGAGGTGAAGTAGTTTCGAGACAACATATTTTGGGAATAGGCACAACGTGGTTTTTGCAAATGGTTGAACAATGACATGGGAATTTGGAGCTTCGACGTGCGGAACATCACACATATCTCAGGCTGATTTACAGATTCGGGATGATTCGGGATATTTTTGGGATATGTTTCGGCATCTAAATTTCTGAGTGCAGGTATGGTCCCTGCAACTGGTCATTGCAAGCCAGCTGACATTTACTAGCAGGATCATCGCAGATGCATGCAGATTCTATGCAGATCCCATGGGTGTCCTTGTAAGAAGATGTAATAACAGTATATAACATCTAGTTGGTGGTTTGGAAAATTTGTTTTTCCATATATTGAGAATTTCATAATCCCAACTGACTTTCATATTTTTCAGAGGGGTGGCTCAACCACCAACCAGACATTATATAACAGTGGAACTGCAACCCCCACTGAACATGAAGAAAGAACTTCTTGGATTTTGTTGGTGGCTTCACCAGGCCATTGCGTAGCACTTTGGCTGCAGCAGCCTGCTTGGTGCTTCGGAAGAGTGGTCGAGGCTTTGGGACGCGAGGGGCCTCCCAAGCATAGCGCGAAAGAAATCATTGAGTGCTCATGATGTTCTGGACCTTGTTATGTTTGTTCAACCATTTGATGATATCATATACAGTACGCAGTGTATATATGCATGCACCGTATATAGATATAGACAGTATATAGATATACACAGCATATAGATATACAGTATATATATATGCATATAGAACAGATTAGAACAGTGTATATTACAGTTATGTTTTTACATCAATAAATAACATTAACAAACACATATTTAAACACACACACATATATATATAATATATACTCGCCCTTAGCTCTGCTGAACTCCTTCAGAAGGTGATATATATATATATTTATATGATGTATATATGTATGGAATATATGCAGTAGCTATGTATACCCCCAATCCATGATTTTTCCATGGTCAAATTTGCCCGGACCTTGACCGAATCAGGAGCAGCCGGGAGCTGAGAATGGTCCAGAGAGTTCAAAAATGGTGATTTTCCATAGCTACGGCTAGCTACGGAACATAACCAGGGGTAATATCTTCAATATCTATAATCTGTTGCCATTTTTAAGTTGGAGATTTGCCTTTCATATCTTTCATGACTTTCTTTCCAACTTTTTCTTATCAGCTTTTCAGAGGCAAACAAAGGGGGATGATCCTAATTGGGCCATGAAGTTAGTTGACGAGTTTGTACCATATGTGGCTACCCATCATATATATCCATCAATGTGGGTAAAACAATGCCATAAACCATCCCTCAAATCACCATTTTTATAGGTGGTATAAACAATTATAAAGATGTATAAACCATTCCCGAATGGGTGGTTTATGGCATTGCTTTACTCACATGGATTCCATTTGTGGAGTGGACCCACTCCACAAATCCATGGCGCAGTTGAGGTCCACCTCAGACATCGCAGCGATTGCGTTTTGGTGATGCGCGCCTCGGTTTTGCACAGTGAGGGGGTGGGGCCAGGTGGGGGGAAAAAAAAGGATGGAAAAATTCGGGATTCTTTGGGTTTTTTGGTTTGTCTCCGAAAGATCGTCGCAAATTTGACCGCTAGCACCGCTGGCACCGCCATGCCATGCACAGTTTTCATCAGTTTTCGAGGTGCCCGAAACGACGGCTGGTTCGACACCGTGAAGACCACGGAGTTGGAAGAAGCTTTGCGGGTCCCTGGAGAAAATGGACGAACATCTGGGTATATAAACTGTGGGAATCGAATGAGTGAAATTTCAGATGGTTGGTCTTAGAGTCGTAATATTGGTAATATGGATACCCTCTGGTAATATTGCCATTGAAATAGTGGATTTACCCATTAAAAATGGGGATTTTCCATAGTTATGTGTTGGTGTACCAGAGGGTAATATGGGTAGTATGTTTTAGTCCCTTCCCACGTGATTAATTCTGAAACCAGCTATGGCGGCCACATGGATGGCCTCACCTTATATAGATTGGTGAAATGATGTTCGTTTGCCCCGATGTTTTTTCGGGCATTTTTCTGGGTTCACTTGTGGCTGAGATTCACTTTTTTTTAAAAAAATGTGGGCAACTCCAGAGTTTGGATGGTTTGGATGGTTTGGATGGCTGAATTATGTTGAATTGAATATGTTTTTCAGTAGTTGCATCCTCTCAACATTGGTTGCACCATCGTGCACCATCCCTTGATCCAACAGCTGAAACAACGGGAACACCATGGATCCAAGGCATTGGGCTTCGATGCTTTTCCCAAGATGCAAAATCGACAGCAGGTGGAAGCCTGGACGAAAGAAAGGGGTGTTTCACCGTTGATTCTCCTGGGGTATCCAAATAAGTTTAGCACTGGTGAATATCTTAAGTTTCCCACATGGTGAAGATAGATGAAGATAGTATTGATTTTTCACAGCTTCTCCTGGGGTATCATACTAAATCATACTTATGCGTGAGTGTAAGTCAGGTGAGGGTCGAGGGTCGAGGCGCCAAGGATTGCAGGTTCAGAGTGGCGAAGCCACATCATCCCACATCACATATCAATTGAATCCCAGTTAAATCCAATGAGACCCCTGGGATTTCACATTCTTTCACTCAATCTCATTTGTGCGTGGATTCTGGATATTCTGATCCACCCTTGCCCATTTTGTGCCAGCATGGCCAGATCTGTGCAACTGCCAATGTTACCATGGGAAAGGGCGAAAGTGCATACTCAAACTCAAACCTTTGCAAAGCTACGAGCTTCTGAACTGACTGGTGGCGTCTGAAGTGTATATAGATAGAATACTGTATATATGGATATATAATATATGAATATATATAGATATGGAATATATATATATATGTGAATATAATATGTATGAATATATATATAATATTATATATATATAAAGCCAGACGCACATATACATGTATACTTGTCAGTAAGCTTGCGGCAGACCTGATCTGAAGGCGATAGAGAGGGAGATATAATGAGATATACAAATAAATATGCACATATATATCTACACTCACACACAATATATATATATATATTTATTTATATGTATATATATATATATGGCTACATATATTTAGAATATATTTCATCATTTTTTTCGCATCCTTTGTTCCGTGCCAAAAAATCTCGCCAAGGCCTCGTGGATTCAGAAGCTGCGGATCCCCTACGAGTTGCTCGAAGGAGCCTTGAAAGAGGTGCGACAAGCGCGGAAGGCGCGGTGGAGGAAAGCACTGGAGACCACAGTCAGCTATAGTCAGCTGATGTTGCCAACATAAACCCAAATTCGGATGGAATGATCCGTATGACAATTGCGAGAACAGCAAGTTTCTGCCTTTTTGATACTCCATACGCATTTATAGTCATGTAATCAAAGCAATTTGATCACTGTATGATGTGGTCTGTGCCAAGTGCTATTCTCAAGTCAGAAGGTGAACACTTGGGGCTGGAAAAAACGGCTCATTTCGAAAGAAAACACCACAGAATCCTCTGATTGTATCGAAAGGATTCTAAATGTCATCAACACCGTGTGCAGAATGCATACATACATACGCACATACATACATAGAGACAGACAGACATACATATATTACATACGTACATACAGATACGTACATACAGTACATAGATACATAATGATACATAGCAGATCTGACTTGATAGTCTTAATAGTTACAGCATTATATAGCAATAGAATTTTACAATTCTCAATGTCAGCATCAGTTGGAGGGTCTCACCACGGAAGGCCCAAGCTCGACGGAGAAGGGGCGAGGCGAAAGCCTCGAAAGCCTCGAAAGCCTCGAAAGGGGCCGAAAAATCCACGACACGCAGATCCAGAGATTCCGAGGCCAAGGATGGCGCCAAAAAAAAGAAACGGCAGACCAAGTGCCTCGACATAGCTTGACATAGCTTGACTTCTAGCGAGTCCAGCGGGGATATTAAGATGTTATAAGTGCAATACGTCTCAGCATGTCTCAACAATGTCTACGCATCTATGTCCATGTACACTGTTTGCAGGTTGATTTTCTGTGGGTCTCGATTTTTTCTGGTGAAATGTTGGTTACAAGTCCCAGTTACAAAAAGGCACAACCATCAAAGTTTCCAGATTGTCACAGGGACTTTGGCAGAAGCCTTTCTTTGCAGGCACCTAGAATTAATGTAGACCTGCGGCCATCATTGCTTTTTCGGACCAATAACAGTCAACAATAATAATGATGATGCCAACAATTAATATAGCAACAATAAATAACATGGGAATAATGACAATGATGACGTGTTTGTATTCATACATTCCCCCATCTAGAATGCATGCACAGGTACGCATGCACACAGAAAATGGGTGGCAGCTTGGACTTTTCACAACAAACTGCTACAAACTGCTACAAACTCATGTAACAACAGTGCAAAGTGATAGAAAACATGGGTATCAAATTCATTACCCGGGCCCATTGTCGAAGCATCAACACATTATGGATCATTGTGGGCCTTCATGATTTGTCCTGATTTCATCCCATATTCTTCTGGGCACTGGAAACAGGTCAGAAATGGGGCAAGAATCTCCAGGCACTCCACGCAGCAAGTTGTGCTCAGGTTTAAAGATGCGGGGCTCAACAAGTTTTCGGAGGCTGAGCTGCGAACTGTGCTGAACATGTGCGATGTGCAGGGCACGTCCATGTGGCCTAAGGAGGACTTGGTTCCGTGGCATGGGGAGCTTGTGGCATGGTCTCGCTGAAAATGGGGAGCACAATGGAATACACATGTAGATAATTACATATGATGTGACACACACACACGGATGTATATAATTGTATACATATATATAAATATATATATATTTATATGTGTGTGTATACATACACACACACATATATATATATTACAGTATATAGACATATATCTGTGATTATCTGTGTGTATGTGTGTAAGTACATTTTCTCATGTACGCAACTGACAATATTTATGGGGAACATATTGCTACTCAGCAGTGGATGGAATCGGTTGGGACCCACCTCCTGCAGTTCCGGTCCCGTTTTACTGGGATTCGGTGAGAACCAATACAATTGGAAAGTGGGGGTTTTTAAGTGGTTTTTATTTTTTTTTAGCTATTTGTTTTCCGTTTTGGGATTTTTGGGATGGACAACATTTGCTACACTGCAGCTGGTTTCATACGCCCCTGGCATATTGGACGCCTTGGGGCGCACTCAGGTGCAGAAATTGCGCAGCATGGGTTTGAGGCAACGAGACGTGCAGGACGTGTTGAATGAGGCGTGGTTCTTCACACGATGGCTTTGGCGAGACTTTTTGGTTGGAATGCCAGTCAAACTCCTGTGGTTCTTGGCATTTCGTGGCCATAGACTGGTGGATATTGCTAGTAAATCGTAGGTAACTCACCCGTTTGAATCTCCGGTGATTCATAAGATTTGCCAAGGTTTCTTGGCGCCTTCATAGGCGACCCTGTGCCAGGTGGCCCCTCAATCGCGACCTCCGCGCTCGGGGAGGAGTAGCTCCAGAAATCGGAAACAAAGGCGTTGAAGCGGGGACTGGCTGGTGGTTTCAAAGACTGTTTTCCATTCCATCCAATTTTGGGATGATGATGATGATGATTATTATTTTCTACAAAACGTGTACTCATCTTTTTTGAGTCTGACACCACCATCATTGTCACCGCTGGTGATGTTCTCACCCAAGGCCAAGGAGACCGTACTTCCCCCGCCATTTTGGCATATCCTCCCTGACTACATGACTAGATTCAACATTCCAAATCAGGTTAGTTTTGGTATGTTCTCGTTGTACTTGAAGGGTGGAGGTGTTTATTATATAAGACTTTATAGTTGGTGGTTCCCAAGATGTTTATTTTCAACCATAACCATATTTGGGGCGATGACCCCCCTATGATTAATGTATGAATATAGAAGACACACACACACATGTATACAACTCCACTAAATCACCATTGAATCACCAGTTATGTTTGTTCGATTATATAATTGCAGGGGGAAAGGAGTATGTACCGCCAAGATCAAACAAGGCCCAGAAGCCGCGCGGAGCGCGAGTTCTATGGCTATGCTTCGCCTTCCGACCAGGACTTTGTACGGGAGTGCCCTGACGGGAAAGGAGAACATTGGAATGGTACATTAGTACAACTCAATCTTCCGCTTGTTGTCCATACATGTATGTATATATATATATATATACTCGTAACTATATATACAGGTGATTATATGTGTGTGATGTGGTTTGTATGCTGATATATGCTAACCAGAGCACAAAAATTGCAGGACGTCAAACACTGGCCATTCAAAATTGGCCAGCTGAGGTTCATAAGAGAAGAGTACGATGACTGGGACGATCGCTACGATGATGTGGACGACTATTTCGACGCTGGGATTTGCCATAGAAGATGTGGATGTGTGTCAAAGTTTGCCGGAAATTGCTAGTCCACAAGAGTATGATACCGTAACTCTGGCTATAATGAGGGAAGCCCAACCCCAGTACTGTAGCGAACCAACCCCAGTTGGAGTTTATCATATGCCCCCTCAATTTGCAGTACTATGGTTTATGCTATTGCCATGGTTTATGGCATACAGATATACCGTGATATACCTGTAGATATTACCCTCTGGTTATTTAACATAGCCATGGAAGCCATGGCCCATAGAAATAGATGGTTTACCTTTTAAAAATTGTGGATCTTTCCATGGCTATGTTAAATAACCAGATGGTAATATAGCTGTAGATATCTATGCTTACTGTGTTCGTTGGCACCTTTCTGAACGATGTACCCTACGGAGCTTGGACAAGGTAGCCAACCCACAGATTGGGTGCGGGGGTTACCGTGGTTTTCTGGGCCCCCCCACCAGTTGGGATATCAATATATAAGCCTGGAGGAACCCTGAAAAAGGTATTATTATATAGGTGATGCACATTGATATACCATATACATATACCATATACCATATACATATACTTATAACATCATATGCCATCATATACATGACATAAGATATACTTAGAACTTCTTATGACATTTTGCAACTGGAACTGCAGCCGGAAGGACTTCACCATGGACGATGAACCTTGGGAGTCCATCCCTTGGGATTTTGACGACTACCTGGATGACGCGCACGATGCTTGGGCCGTTGCCCGTTTTTTTGGGCCGATGAGGATGGAAAGGCATGGAAAGAATCAACGGATTTAAGTTTTCAGGGCAAATCTTAACCCAAAACCATGAACTTTCCTATGAAAGATGAGAGTTTCCTTTTAAATTTCCCTCAAAGCAATCCATTGAAGGGAGGATTCTAGAAATAGCATATTTGGATATATTTGGGGGGATGAATATCCATAGACAACAGCTGTTTGTTGAAAAAACTCAACATATAAAAATGTAGATAGCGCTTGACTTGGCATTTCCAAGTCGGCTTCATGTGCAACGCAACAATGGACACTGGGCCCTAGCCAGGAATCAACAGCGGCCTTTGTAGTGGTCTATGGGGAGATCAACAATAGGGGTTCAACCATTCGGACTACCGAACAAATGGCCAGTCTGCAGCTGATTGGTGGTCATTTGTTTCCACACCTTTTTGTGAAATGAATCTTATTCCGTCTTTTTCCTCATCACCTTCAGAGGTGGTAAAAATATGTAAAAATCATTACCCTCGTAATTTTACAGTCTGCGAACTGGACGCCCATTTGCTTTGAGGATTTATTTCTTACACATGGTGATTTTCCATGATTTTCCAGTTCGCAAAGTGGTAAATGGTGGTTTTCCAGTGACCATACGAAATATTGATGAACATCACCTCCACCAGGAAGAGACGCAATACCGGAGCTCGAGGCCAGGAGGGTTTTTTCGGCTTCGCCACATGGATTGATCCATATGACGACCATTGGCGGTGGGGCATGGGCGGCATGGGGTCATTGGGCATATATGTTAATATGTTAATATGAACATGGGGCATTTATGTTAACATCACTAGTTTCAAGATGTTCATATATGGTCATATTTTTCGGTCATTCATAGTGGTCACCTGGAACATACTGGAACTGAAAGGGGGTCATTTGCAAACGACAACCAAAGACACTCATCATTGCACCTAGAAACTTCGCTGCAAAGAGAGTGTGAGCGATTACAACTCAGATGAGCTGCAACTCCCATACATGGATTTCAGCAGAAGGCAACCGAGGATTTAGTCAACAGATATGTGACAACGTGTCTTTGTACAAAAGGAATTTGTGCGTATACAATCATGATTGTGACGCTAAGCGGCTAAGCTCTGTACATCAAGTATCATCATTACTGATGAAGAGGAAACTCATAAAACTTCAACTGATACAGCACAGTGGAAATCTACTGTCATTTTGTTCTTTCATCACCTGGCAAGCCACGCCGGTTCACATCATTTTTTGGACTTTCAATGTAGTGTTTTCTCTTTTTGCAGCGTTTTGCAACCCCTAAGTCTAAAGTGGAGCCTCCCCCAAAACATCCCCAACCTTGGAAAATAAGCATAACCAGCGAAAGATTTACATAGATTCACTTTTTGTGGACTATCAGGACTATCAAAGATTGACCATGAAAATGTGATTTTCATTTTCCCATGTGTTTCCCTTTCCCCGGGCGATGGCTGGCGCAGGAGCCAGGCTGGACCAACGCAAGACTATTACTACTACGAGACTTGCATCGTTCAGGGGGCAAGGTCCTGGTAAAGACCTATCCTCTGAGAATGACTCACAGTCTGCAAACTGGAAAATCAGTCATTTTAATAGGTAAATCATCTATAAATCATCATGAATCATCTATAAATGGTCCATTTTCCCTATGTTAAATAACAACAGGGTAAATCCCGACCTGTTTCGATGGCTGATTCATATATATACCCATATATATATACACATATAATTATATACATATGTATGGGGGTTCAGATTTCCTCTACCTTTAGGGGTGGGTTGACCCCCTGTACAATAGCGTTTTCGGACCTCAAAATGTACAGAAAATTGACCTTGCTCCCCCTCACTTTGTAGAGAAGTGATGTTTTTTTGGAACCTATATTTTTCAACAAGCATTTTGTAGAGAACAGATGTTTTCAGATATATGAGATGGAACAGCATTTTGTAGAGTCTAATTCTTGGCATTAAGAAAAACAAAGGCGTCACTTTGTAGAAAACCAAATCTAACATTCTTTTTGTAGAAGAGGATCATTTGGTAATATATTTGAACTTTTCCGCAGTCGCATTCCCAGAGAAGTCCATTTTGGCTCTGCTACCGCTGTTGGTAAGAATTGATGTCTTTTTGGAACCTATGTTTCCAACAATTATTTTGTAGACGGCCATGTGTTTTCAGATAGGTGAGGTGGAGCAGCATTTTGTAGGGGTTTAATTTTTTGTAAGAAAACCGGAGCCTTGGTAGTGGGTACCCGGGTACCCCCATTTTGTACCCGTTTTGTACAGTAATTAGTGGGTGAAGACTTCGAACTGGGAAATCTCTGGAAGTCTATGCAAACCTTTGCTCTCCTAATTTTCCAAGAAATGTACAAAACAAGGCCTGGAATCCTGTGTTGCTTCATGCTTGTTCTTTGCTTTGGCTGATTTGGGGTGTGTTGTTTGGCCTCGCTCTCATTTACTTCTTTGTTTTTCAGTGAGTTTTCTTCTTTGGGGATTTTGGGGTGCGCTTTGGGTGTTCCAGGGGTGCATCTTTCCAGTGGTGTTTGCACAGTTTCTTCTGTTTTTTTTCCATCAGATTCTTTTGTACTGCTTGCTTTTGCTGGGTGCTTCGCTGCACCTGTGTCTTGCTTTGCCACATCCTTGGCTTTCTGTGGAGACCCTCGTTGTGGTGTGTCACCGCCGGAACATTAAGCGATTCTTTCTTCAAATTCATCATTCTAAATTTCCGCCTCATTACTTTGCTGTATCTACTCTGTGTAATTGGTGCCTTATTTTTCGTATTTTCCTGTGTGCTTCTATGTTTGTTCATGCGTCAATGCGTTTGAATCAAAAAAATGCGACATTATGCGGCCAACAAATCACCCAGACGAAAAACTCTACAAAAAGGGTGTCCCTTCCTGAAGGCTCTACAAAATGATGCTATCAATCCTTGTCCTTTGTCGAACCAAGACGCACCAAATGATCCAACAGGAGTTCTGGGGTGGAAGTATCAGTTGTGAGGGGCACCTGATATATTAAAACAGATGTTCTGGCCAGAAGTCAAAAGAATAACTTATTCTATGAGAGAACACGGAGTCTAATCAGGAGGGATCATACTGGAGGCTGAACAACTGAAAACACGTAAATATGTACCAATAATATCCAATAATAATTTCAAAAAATGAATAATATCAAATTGCGCAAAATAAGCAGGAATAATTGCAATCAACAAAAAAAACAAAATACAGAACACAAATCAAACAAATTTAAACATATACATTTTTGGTGGGTACCCAGTACCCAGCTGGATTTTTTCCTTTAAATGCCTTTCAAAATTGAGAACAACAAAAAAACATGGGCACAAATAAAAACATGATTAATGAAATAACTAACGATACAACATGAATTGACAAAACATAATACGTAAATGAGTAAATTACATAGTGATGATAAGTTTAATAAATCAATGCCTTTCGGGACAACCTGGCAAAGTTTGTTTCATTCTGTCCAATTTGGCTCCACATTTCCACTGCTTTACTGCAGTTCTGAATATGTATGATCCCTTTGAATATGAGCCCCAAGCTAATTGATGATAACTTTCTACGAAAAGGCTGACACCTTCGGTAGGTTTCGAGCCGATGAGAACAAACCGCAGAAAGAATCTGAAAAGTGGAATGAACTTTGGGGATCCCTGGGGGAAGTGGACGGTGGAGAGTTCACTTCCTCTACAACATGCTAGGTGAGGTTTTTAAGATACCACGTTTTTTGGACAAAAATTCACCTCTACATAATGCATGTCATTCAGAGCTTTGAAAAATAATACTTACGTTTGACATACATAATTTCAGACGTGCATTTTGTAGAGCTCCATTTTTGGCCTAGAACAGCATGTTGTAGACTCCTCGCAGCAGGTTGGCACTGCATTTTGTAGTAACAAGGTTGTGTTTTTTCAATTGTATCTACTCCATGGGGGGGGCCAACTGACCCCCGGTAATCTAAACCCCCATACATATGTGTGTATATATACACACACATATATATATATATATAGATACATATAATATATATATATATAAATGTAAATAAATAAATGCCTTGGGAACAGTTTGATGTTTCTTCCTTTTGAGGTCCTCTTTTACCGATGGAGACACCACATCCCCAGCATCTTTCACCAGACCTCTATGAATACGGTGTGTCGCATGAACGATGAGGCATAACATATGTACCCAGTATTGATATGTATTGATGCTATGTTCTTATCATTTCCTATCTTTGTAATATATAAGGTTGATCCTTTTCTTTCTATTGCGAAAACTGACCGTATTTGTATTTTGGTATAGGAATCATATGGAATCATCTCCAGCGATGCGAGCAGCTGTTTTAAGGATCGCCCCTCCTGGTGCGATCCTGGATGATCGGCTGGAAATGTATGGAAACATGTTTGATATATATAATGTATTATATAATTAATCATAGTAATACATGCGCATATATGAACACACAATATCTATGATACCTCGGAATTCTGCAATGTGACCAACTTGGAGCACTCCCAGGATCCCGGGCAAGATCCATGGACACGGACGTACTCGGCAGTTTCTGGGCGCGGAAATTGGGAGATTGATGGAGTTTGAGTCATTTCGGTTCTCTTCCAACCTGGCACCCACGCTTTACCCCAATTTTGGTGGTTTTCAGGTGGAACCTCCGGCCAATGGAGAGGGGATGGACTGTAGAAAGGTCTTGATGCGAGCATGTTTGCATGGGCCAATTTTCAGATTCCATTGTCATTTCATGAACGCAGCCATTTTTTAAGGCTCGCCAATGAATGGGCCTGATATCACATGATATCACATAAAGGATCAGAAAACCATGTGGGTTTGGATCAACATGATTTATCATATTTTATCATAGATTGTTTGAAACAATGGCCATGTAGGGGGTATACACCTAGTTTTTCAGACGCGCCCATGAACAACACAACACCATTTGCGCTTCTCAGAGATAATCCCGTCCCGCTGATCCAATACATCCCACCAAGGTTTTGAAGATTTTCCATGTGGGTTAAGGGATTGTAAAATTATATGCATTACAAAAGATCTATTAAAAAAAATCCACACACACATAGCAGTTTGCTATGGAAACTATGTTTTAGCCAGTTAGATGATTTACCCATGAAAACCGGTGTTTTCCACTGCGAACTTTCAAATTGCGAACTTTCAAATTGCCAGAGGGTAAGTGATAAATTTACCACTATGTTACTGTTTAATCAGTTTCTCATCGCCATCTGCTAATCATCATTTTTATTTTCACCATTTTTCACCACATTCACCCAGTTCCCATGCCATGTGCGTTTTTTTCCTTGCCGGTATGCCACCAAGGCTCCCAACGAACCGCCGTGGCAAGCTTCCAGTTGGCCAAAGCAGCCGAAACTGACCCCAGAGGATTTCTGGCGCAGGGGTGAGATGAAAACATAAAGGTGCTTCTACAACTTGGTTCAACCAATGTATTGAACATGAACATGAGCCAAAACCATAGTGTTGTCAATCCCAACTGGGCTTTTTTGGTGTCCCAAAGATGGAGTGAAGAGGCGTTGCAGCGCCTACCTCCATGGTTCAGTCACTGCCCATAAGTCTTTAAGATTGGTGACTGCTAGATGTTTAGATGGCTTGAAACCTTTGTCAGATGAGTTGAGACCTATAGAACTTCCATGAACATTTGAAACTTTGGTGCGGATACAATGCCAAGTTCAGCATGAAACAAAGAAAACGGACCGAGTTCAGCTGGCTCGCTCAGATTTCCAACAAAAACTATACAGTTACAGTAGGGAACCTAAATGATGCAAACCCAATGCCATCATCATTAGCCATCATAAAGCTATCACATGCTATCATTAACGGGGATGACTTCTTTATCCATCTGTGGTACAACTTTCAGGGTGGCTGCCCAGGAGACCATGAACCAAGCCCTCAAGGAAGGATGGAAAAGCGATTCTTTGTCCCACATGCAGGTGCGACACGTGGCGTGGCAAAGGGGAAATGAGCATTTCTGAGTGGGAACATACATGATGAGGGTTGCTAGATAGCTAAGTTGACTTATAACTTGGTTATCTAGAGTTTATGGGGGATGATTTTTTAAGCCATAGCTAATGGGAATTTATAAATCAACTTATGACAGGCCTCACCTTGAATGGATGTCAATTGGAGTAAACGAGAGATTTTCCATTGCAATGGTTGGCTACTGCAGGGTTTTGGAAAATGCGATTACGCTTTACTTGCTGTTCGTTACATGATGTTATATGATGTTTTGACATGTCTTAAAGTGGTAAAAGGTTAAATATGTATTCTTTTGGGCCAATTGCATCTGACAACACACTATATACACACAAAATGCTTCCAGCAGATTCAGGAAGTACGCTAAGATTTAGCTCTTTGACAGGGGGATTAGCCACCAGAAATCAGAAATTTCCAGAGGGTACCTTTCGAATTGGGTTGAAGCCGCGTTCTCGCCTCCGCCCACATTTCAATCTCTACGTGTTGAGACGAGGGAGGGTAAGACAGAAATCATGGACAATGTTATGGCCGATGGTGTTGGAATCAACAATGACCAAACCCAAACTAGATGGTAACATCAAACCTCAAGTTGGATAGATCACACTCAAAGATGACTGAATCTTTTTGTTGGCTCCCAATGCAGGAGATATGTTCCAGCTGGTTGAGGTTTATGCATCAGCTAAGCAGATGTTTCTACCTCCCACAGTGTTGCCCAAAGATACCCAAACCCGCATTGAAAAAAAGATGAATCACCCTTCTGCTCGTGGTTCAGTAACCCTGAAATGACCAAGATTATTATGTATGATTGATACTGGATGGTTAAAAGATGTGCTGGCAAACCCAGTGTGAAACAGATAGAATATTAAATCTGGATGACCAACGACAAAAAACAAGATATGATAGTTCAATGGCACAAACAAATCACAATCCTTGGTTGATCCATAGAAAGAGTTACCACCACCATCAGAGACTTAACATGACCACCGACGTTTCCTGAGCTCCATCGAACACGTTCCCCCCCAGTTATAAGTATTGGCTTATTTTTCACCCAAGTGTGCAGAAATCATGACATATCAAGTAAGCACAACAGTTGGCCTAGTCGCAAAGATTTATTTATAAAGCAACTTACCTGGAGCAGTGTCAAAACCTTCACTTGGGTCTTGATGTTAGGGTGTTGTACTATCCTTTGTATATCTTCAAGTTTCTTAAAACTAAGAACAGGTTGTCTTTTTTTGATGGGAGAACCCATGATTTTGTTTCCCAATATTTGCAGGACAGCTGTACACACAAACGCACACACACAGATATATGATATATATATATAGGGTAACGCCATTTAAATATGTGGAGGGCGGGCCAGACCGCGAGGCCCCGGAGGTAGTATGAAATACCAGTTCGTATATTTTAAAGTCCGTATATTTAAATGTAGTTACCGCGTAAATATACTTACTGTATATATATATATTATTGGGCGTAACAGTCAGGGTTTCCGGTGAGGATGTTTCCTTAAATGCCAATTTCTGACCCATTTCAAGACACCAAACATCCTGGATTACAAATCACATCGCCCACATCCCCACAGAATATATAATGATATATATATATATGCTGTGGTAAGCCCAATACTAAACAATCCCCAACATCAATCTTTTGTTTATTGTTTAAAGAATCTTTGACTATTTTATGATAACCTTTACATAATCTTTACATATTAATAATCCACACATCAATCGTTTTATGGGTTGCATGAAACCATCCCCAGTCGTTGTGCAGGCGCTGTTGCTGCTGGGCCTCTCCGGGCGTCCCTCGCCACAAGAGGTGTCCAAGGTGCGCAGGCAGATGGCGCTGCGATGGCATCCGGATGCGCGGCAGCAGTGGCACTGGGATTATCATGGGATTATTATGGGATTGTCATGGGATATATATTCCCAATATATGGATTATTATTAATGGATTATTATGGGAATATATAGTGGAGTTATTATTAATGGATTATTATTATGGGACTATATAGTGGATTATTATTAATGGATTATTATTATGGGATTGTCATGGGAATATAGGTATCCTTATATTATTGGATCCCAGATTATTATACTATGGGATTATTATCATGGGATTATTATCCACTATTATATTAATGATTATATTATCTGGGATTGTCATGGGAATATAGTGGATTATTATTAATGGATTATGGGATTATATGGGAATATATAGTCATTTGATATATTGTCCGTTCATATATTGTGGATTGTTAATGGGATTATTATATTATTGGATCTTTGTGATATTAGTGGATCTTTGTGATTAATGTGGTTGGGCATGTAGCAATGGAACGACAAGATTTATTCATGAACAATAATTGGAATGCAACCAAGATTTATCGATAAACTTTTGAGATTTTCATCATTAGAAATAGGGATATTATCCATGAAGAATGGGATTTCATCCAAACGAAATGGGGATGTAGCTATCAGAAATGATTTTTACCCATGAAAAGTAGGATTTTAACACTAATAGACATGGGGATGTCGTCCATGAACAATTGGGATTTTGGCAATGAACCATGAATTATGCTTCTAAGACTTGAATTGAATTTAAGCTGCACATGATGGATGGTTAATGGGTGGAAGGGGTTGGTGGGATTAAGGACGGATTTTGCCCATCAAGAATTGGCATATGCCCTGCAGAACATCATCAAACATGGAACTTAAATTAAACCTTTAACCATGAATAATGGAAGTGGCTTCGGCCAAAAAGAGCAAGGCGGGTTTCAGGTCGCATAAAAGGTGCCCACAGTAGGGTACCCAATATTCAGGAATGCTACAGAGCCTGCACTAGCAGGTTTGATGGGGTTAAGACAGAGCTCCTCTAGACTTTCCTAGTGTTGGCCAGTGTTCCACCCTATTCTCTTGTTTAACCATGTTAATTCCAATATTTGTTCTTCAAAAACCCCTTGAACAATGAACTGATCTGACGAAAATCCACGAACATTCGGCATTTGTTGCTCCATTTTGGATTTGATTTCCTAATTCTTGGTGAAATCTTGAAACTTCAGATGTATCAGATCATTGTGTTGTCATTGCATCCCAGCTTTTTGGTCGTTAAATCCCTGCAACAAGGACAAGAATCCGGAGAATGCCAACGCCAATGCGGCATTTCAGCTCGTGATGGCAGCGGCTGTCAAGTTAAGTTAGTACCAGCGGCGATCTCAGGGAGTGGGTCCCTGATAGATATAGCTTTAATATAATTTAGTGGTATAACCAACCATAAACGGGGATGATCATGAGGATATGGGGATATAATGACACAACCAACAATTAGGATGAGTTATCATCTCACTGCTTTTAGTCACTGCCAAGGGAATCATCCCCAAATGGCCAAACTTTTGAGCTATGTGCAGGCTGGTGAGATAGATTATCGACATTATACATATATAGCACCCCAAAATGACATTAAAACCATGGGAACCTGGAAATATGTGGAACACATCATCGAACTACCATCCTGGAAACACGTTTTGGCATTTTTTGGTTCCTTAGATATTAGATAAATATTTAACATATGCAGATGTAGATGTTAGATATTGATATTGATACCAATATTGATATTTACTTAGGTTTCAAACATTGACATCATTTCTGACTGATCCAGTTGGAATTTTCAAACATTTTTTCGATGCTTCCAACCCTACAGTAGGAGCATAATCCAAATTGGCTTCCACATTTTTTCAACCGCCGTAAGACACGGATCTCACTGCAATCCAGTCATGGGCGAGCCATCCCAAGCCCTGAGATTGCTACGCCACTGTCCTACCTGGATGTGGTTCCATCTTGCCAGCTGGATTCCAAAGAACAGCCTCTAGATTGGCTCTAGATACCCTTTTTCGGGATAGATTTTGGATGGGATGAATGCTGGATATTTTTCACTGGAATTGGATCGGATGTTTTTTTCTTTAAATCTCGGGTGCCAGTGCCGCTGTCCCAGCTTGATACGAAACATGGGCCATTGACACACGACGCAGCTTGGAACCGTCCCAGTTTGGCGCGCCTTTTCTCCACTGCAAAAAGCTGACTCGGCCGGATGCTTCTGAGAGTGCTCAATGACCTCCAAGGGGTGCTTGAAGTTCTGGTGGGGAAATGATCAGTGGTAAAAGCTTAGAGATATCCAATGATATCCAGATATTTTGAGGATTTTTGAGGTATTTCAAGTAGCAAGGGATATTTCACTGAGTTGGGTTTCAAAGAACAAGGTAAAGACGATTTGGCGACCAAAAACGTATGGAAAGCAATGCTGGGGATCCTATGGATCTTATGGTGACACACCCGAAGGTGGCCGCTCACTGGGCTCCATCTCAGATTGGGCGCCCAGGGGGAAGGGGGGCCTTCTCCAGGAACCACCGAAGAAATGGGAACCACCCCGGAGAGTCCTGGTATTTAATGGGTTTTGAACCAAAAAAATGTGATTTATGGTGAGTTAATGGGTTTGTAACCACATACTCTCCGGCAATTGAAGAGTTTGCGATCTGGAAGCCATGGCCATGTCGATGCTTTATCGTTTTGACAAATATGGTGATCTTCCAGTGTGAAATTACCGCAGGGTCAACTGGAGATTGAATCAGAACAACTCGGGATGTGACAAACAACAGATGAGTTTGGTGTCGGATGATTTTTGGGCTCAATCTTCAATTACCGCAGAGGTACGATTGAGCATTTCCAGCTTGCTCATGGTCATTTGCAATCCTCAGGGGTTGAGCAAAAGAAAAAAATCAAACAGAAGATATGCAAAACTGTATAGTTAACTATAAGCTAATATTAGTTATATTATAGTTATATTATATTATATTAGCTGCATCCAGATGCAAGAGGGTGCCTTATAGCCTTGTGTGGATGGCCATCTAGCCCGCTTCAGTCTCAGGTTGTGGGAGCCAGTCATTTGGTGCGAGGTAGAGGACGGCGGCCTGGCGACCACTTTATTTTAGCCACGAGGGTTTGCCGTTTTTTCCTTGAAAGAATGGGGGTCAAAATGGGGGACATTTTTGTGTTGCCTCAGCACGGGATCTTTTGGAGGTTCCAACTCCTATATTTAACCGTTTGATCAATTTAGATATTTAGGGAATGTCAGGGACCATCGTGACAAGCCACAATTCATCGCTCTTCTACGTGGCAGGTAGGATCCGCACCCTGGGCCGAACCCACCAACCTTTTCAACGTGTCGCCATGGTGTCACTGCGTCACAGGACAAGGCTTTGGACCCTCAAGCCAGAGAGAGGTGGGATGATAGGCATCGCTTGGATCAGCCATGGAACCATGCTTGGGTATCGTATGTAAACTTTGCCAGCATAAGGCACAAGGTAGAATTTGCAAGATCCCCTCTTGGTTTTTGATCAACCTCTACTTGGGTAAGCAGTTCCACCTAGTAAGTAGGCATCCAACTGGTATAAATTAATAATAATTATATACATACATATATATATACATGATTTATGGGTTTTATAACCATCATAATGGGTATATTATCCATAATTATAAATGTTATGTTATATCCAGCACCACGGGTGTTATGACATGTTCTAACCATCATTATGGGTGTTATATCAGTTATATTCCATGATGTGTCCGTGATTCTAGGGTTTATCTCACAACTTTCTGGGGTGATTTCATCGTCTCCCAATCCACGCGTTTCTCCTCAGGGCCAGGCCCACGTTGAAGAGAGTGGAGCCTGTTGGAGCCCCAGAACTGGGAAGACTTTGCAGGGAATTTGGCCTATATATATATATATAACTCGTATATTTGACAGTAGCCCCCGGAAAAAAAAAAAAATGTAGAGGCATAAGGTTGCACTAAAATTGTGATTTCTTTCTTTTCCATCTTCTTGTGGCGCCGCTATGGCATATATATATACAGTTATGTAACTACAACTCCTAGATTCCCAGCGAAAAATCAGGGACAGTTTCCGCACAATCTTGTTGGTCAAACCCATGGTTTCCCGTCACTTTGTCCGCGTAAACCAGCTTATTTATTTCCACATGATCCCACCCCGGCATGCCCAAATCATGGGATTGTTGGAATTCTGTCTCCATCATTTCCCAGCATATACTCATTACATACATACAATTACATACATATATATATATTCTTAATTATATCACCATTTTTCTCATAGTTAAATCCATCATTTTTTTGCTGATGATCGCAGTTGACTCTTCGGAAATGAGTGGCTAACAGGACGAGTTTTTTTTCTTTGGCCAACTGGGTGGACCTGACTCTGTTCATCGTTGCAGCTTTTTGAGCCAAGGGTAGACATTGCACATGGCACATGGCATCGAATCATAGAACCTGGTTGGGCACCTGGTTGGTCACCTTGAGTCACAAGGGCCGGGCTGAGTCTGAGCCAAGACTTCATCGCAGCTTTAGGCATTTTTACCAGTGACACATGGTTTTACTGTAAATACTTTCTGGAATTCGACGGCAACATGGAGCACTTCGTTTCAGCCTTATAGCAAAAAAGTACTGCTGAAGTAGAGTGCATCCTTTTAGACACCTTACCCACAAATTGGTGACCTGGCGATTTTGTAATGTGGTAAAACTTACGAGTAAACCTTCCCCAAAACCACCAATGGGTTGTACAAACCAATCTCAAGTGACTTTTTCTGCTCTCCTCCTCCCCACTCATAGATACCCATAGAACCATGGGGCCCTTCATGTTCAGAAGTCAACTTTGCCACCTTTCCCTGTGGTACCCGGCATGGGCGACGAGATGGCTGGAACCGTTTGGGTGGGGCGAGTGAAGAGCGGGGTGAATCCCGAAACCCTGGAGCCGCTGGGCCAAAAAGCAGAGCTGTCGGAGTGTGGGGAAAGATTTTCAACATGGATTTGTGAGGGTCATTAACCATCCATTTTTAGGGGTTACCACTGGTACCACCATTATTTTGGTGCTCAAGTAATGTCAAAGATTGTTGGTTTGATACCATTTCTGTTGCTTAAACGGTTAAACGCAATAAACGATCTAGAATTGAAGGTAAATTGAATGTACAGTACATGGGGCATCATGGGGCTACTTTGGGAACAGCCCTCGCCACAGATCTCTGCATATTCTGGATGCATCGCATCCCAAGACTCCCCGAACCCATCAGACACTGCAAGTTTGGGGGATTTGACCAAAATATGTCTTCCACAATTTTACAGGTGTATATTCAAATGTATGTACCATACATCGCACAGCACACACATATACACACATATACATATATATATATATATACACATATATATATATGTATATATACACATACACACACATATATATATATACATATATATATATTGAACAGAGAATCAATTTGGAGATAAGACAATATATACATATTATATATACCGTATATTACATATTTAAGTATACACACATAAACCTACAAGTATGCATACCCAGTCCCTAAACTTGTTTTTTCATCTCACCGAGGCGAGCCTTCGAGCAGTTCGGGGCGATCAAGGCGGTGTTTTATCGTGAAGATATGGGACCCCCTCTCAGAATGGAGATAACATAGAGATAACATGGGGATGGAATTACAGTAATCCCCAAAAAAGATCGAAATGTGAAGTTTTTCTGTTGTTTTGGTATTAATGTTCTATCTATTGGGGGGATGCTACAATGGGTATGAATGGGATGATATAACCAACGATATATCAATATGTGTATATATTATGTATATATATATATATCAATCTCATTTGGGTTTTGTCTACCAATGGCCAGAAATTGGGGATATGCATGGATGGACCTATGTGTATATATATATATATACATACGTACGACTTTTAGGCACAAGTGATTTGCTGTTCCATTCCCTTTATTTGCCCGATTTTTGGACACCAGTTGGGTAACCACTGACCTTCTCTTATAGAATATTTTTTTTTTCTAGAATGGTCAGTCCAAACCAAATTTTTGTTCACCTGTTTGTTAGTTCCATCCCCTCCATTTTTACGCAGCGTTAACTGTGTAAGTTCCCAAGTGCCATAGATGTCCGAGCCCATTGATAATCGCAAAATCCCCGAAACTGAGCAGCAAAAAGAACACAATCAGTTTGATTTTACTAAAGACTCAAGATGTCTCACAAGAGAAAACTGGGTAGAGTCCTACTTTAGGAGACACCTAACCATCCTAACCATCCATCCTTTTTAACAAAACAGTTACCCCCTGTGCCGAAGCCAATGTTACGATGTCCAGG